AGTAAAGGTAATTTTAATATATTTGATTTAAAAATTCGCTATATCAAGAGTTCGCTATATCAAGGTTTGACTGTATTAAATTCAGTAAATTTATGAAATATTACATAACTGAAAGTTTTAAATTACATTTTATTGAAAGATATAAAATATTATAAACAAATTTCTGATATAAATTTTCGTAAACTTTCAAAATTCTTTTATTATTGTAAGTTTTACATAATACTACACTATAATTTTTTAAAGTATTATGTTATAAACTTTTGAAATTTTAGTGTTTTCAAAGTTTTACATAATAATATTATGAAATACTATGTCGTAAACTTTTGTATAGTTACATACTCATAATACTTTTGTAGTATTACATCATAATATTATGAAATATTATGAAATACAAATTACGTAATCTTATGATAGGCTCGTAAGTTTTTGTAATATTACAGAATGTAATTTTACGCAATATTACATCCTATTAAATTTACTGATGAATGATAAAAAATATTGTTCTTTTAAAATAATGATGTATTATTTTGAAAAAATAATAAAAAAAATATTATTCTTTTTGGAATAATGATAAATTGTTTCTTAAAAACAATAAAAAAATCATTCTTTTAGAATGATGATGAATTGTTCCTTAAGAATAATGAAAAATTATACTTTCAGAATGATAAAATAATTGTTCTTTTAGAACAATGTTAAAAATTGTTTCTTTAAGAACAATTTCTATCATTTTTTTAAGAACAATTGCTCATTTTTTTAGAGACAATTTCTATCATCTCTTTAGAGATAATTGTTCGTTTCTTTAAGAATAATTTCTATTGTCTTTTTAGAAATAAATACATCATTCCAAAGGAATGATTTCTATCATCTTGTAGGGATAATTCTATCATTTCTTTTAGGATGATTCTATTATTCCTTTTGAAATAATTTTATTGTCTCTTTAGAGATAATCCTATCATCTCTTTTGTGACAATTTTATCATTCCTTTAGGAATGAATATATTATTCCTTTGGAATGATTGTATCATCTCTTTGAAAATAATTGTTTATTTCTTTAGGGATAATTTCTATCATCTCTTTTAAAATGATTATATCATTTCTTTAAGAATAAATGTATCATTCCTTTGGGATGATTGTATCATCTCTTTGAAAATAATTGTTCATTCCTTTAAGGATAATTCTATCATCTCTTTTGAAATAATTATATCATTTCTTTAAGAATTAATGTATCATTCCTTTGGGATGATTGAATTATTTCTTTGAAAATGATTGTTCATTCCTTTAGGGATAATTCTATCATCTCTTTAGATTGATTACTTTCAGAATATTTATAATTTTCGCAAAAATCAGCTTAACAGATTCTGACTAGTAAGATACAGTTGATTAGTTATCAAATCTTGAGTCTAACTGAAATTTTGCTGAATATTATAATTGAAAGGTATTAGTGCTAAAATAATGCTAAATTATGTATAATGTGATAAATTACTATCAATTTTTATAACTTAAGCCAATTTTTTCTGAATCATATAACTGAATTGACTGAATGTTTATCAAAAGATCTAATGCTAAAATAATGCTAAATTATATATAGTATAATAAATGACTATCTATTTTTATAATTCAAGCTGAATTTTTATCAAATCATATAATTAAATCAGCTAAATGTTTAGCGAAAGATATTAATGCTAAAAGAAATGATTTTGACTAGTGATAAATATGATAAATATGTTATATTATATTAAATTATATATAAATATTTTATATTTAAAAGTAAAACAAAAGTTAAAATTTATTTTATATACTAAATATAATTTTTTTTAATCAAATAAATTCAAATTTAATTTAATATCAATTTAAATTTTAAAGTCTTTTTCTTAAATTTAATTTTATATTATAAAAATTATATTTATAACTAATGTATAAACTTATAAATATCTTTAATTAATTAAATTTTTAATATTAATAATTTTTGTTTTTTAATTTAAATTTAAATATTAAATTTATTTTTATTTTAATTATAAGTTTTGTAATTTATTAAGATTTTTAATTTTTAATATAAATATAATTAATTATTATAATATTAATATAAAAGAAAAAAACAAAAAAACTTAAATTTAATTATAGAAAATTTATTAAAAAAATAGATTTTAAGAATTTTTAACAAATTAAAATAAAAAAATTCTTTAAATATGATTTCTTAGAAATTATTTTAAATATAATTATTAAATTATTAATTATTATTAAAATAATAAATTTGAATTTTTTTAATGCATTGCTATTAAAATTTTTATTATGTAACTTATTTTGTTATTTATTATCAAAATACTAAATTAATAATAATAATTATCTATATATATTTATTTATATATAAATTTATATGTAAATTATTAGTTAATGAAATAAAAATAAAAATTATACGTTAAACTTATAATATGGGTGGTATGCTATCAAAATTGAGGTGCGAGACATAGTAAATCATATGATCCGTACCCATATTATTAAAAAAATTTGATTTACTTGATCGTCATAAAAATTACTTATTTATCGTTCTAGTTATGCAAAATGAAAATATTTTTCATTTAAAATATAATAAATTTAAAGTTCATTCAAAGAATAGGGCTCATGGCCAAATGGATAAGGCGCCTGACTACGAATCAGGAGATTCCAGGTTCGACCCCTGGTGAGCTCGAATTTTCTTTTGCAATTTTGTGAACGATGACGTTTAATGATAATCAAATTTGGTCCGTCAAATTTTTTTCCCACGAAATGATTTGAATATTCATTACAGTTATCAATCATCACATGTACTCTATGTGACATTAAATGTGCAATGAAATTTTTTTAAATTTCGGGAAAAAAAAAAAAATTTCCAAGTTTTCATATGCGGGTTGGGTGGATTGAACACCCGACCTTCAGATTAATGAATGAACTTCAGTCTGACGCTCTCCCAACTGAGCTAAACCCGCTACATTGATATAAAGGGAAAATTATGTTTTAATTTTTCTATTTTAATATTCCAAAATAGAAAACCAGATTGTGGTAGATCGACAGAAAATCTGTAACACAGAGTCTTTATTTAACATGAAATCTGAGTTACAAAAAATCAATTGATCCTTTTTTTTTTCCTTTAAAGATGAGTAAAAAAAAGGACCCAATTAATTTGTCAAACAAGGATTTCCTTAAATATATGGAAGGAATAGAAGAGCGAGCGAAAAAGATGCATCAAATTATAATAGAATCCAATTCCTCTACAACTCCTCTTCCTCGTTCACAAAGAATGCAACCTTATTCTCGTAATCGTGTATTTTCTTCGAAACCACAATCACGACTGAAACCTGTCGAATTCGAACTTGGAAAAAACTTAACTCCAAAACGCAAGCATTCTTTTCAATCTTCGTCACCACTCACACCAGATACACCTGATCAACTTACTTTGGGGTCACCATTACAACGGTCATCCGCGCAAGTTGCCAATCAACTGTCTAGACAAGATTCCAATTTTCAGCAATCCACTTCTCACAATTCACCAGTTCCCGTTACACCAGACGATATTGACCAATTTGCACAAGACGAATTAGAAATAATTCGTCTTTTTCGTTATTAATGCAATATGCGAATTTCACCATCAATTGGGTTAGTAAATTAGATATTATCCAATAATTCTATTATAGTTTTAGTATATATGTATGTATTGTTTTTTTTTCTTTTTTCTTTAAACAAAATTTAATAAAATTTCAATATAGAAATTTCGAACTGATAAATTTCTCAAAACCAATTTCATAATAAGATTATGATTAGTTTTTAATGTTTAACATTTTATAATCAGAGATCATATTGATCAAGGATTAACTTCTATATACGTATGTATGGAATTAAATTATACAATTGTTGTTATGGAACTTTCATTATAAAGTTTCGATCAAATACATTATATTATATTACAGTATTTTTTAGAATAATGGGATATAATTCAAATTCGAACATATTCTCAACAAAAGGAATCTAAGGTATTTATTAAATATTAATAAAATTAAGGAATTACGGTCATAGCACTTACTAATTAATTATTATTGAACGATTAGTTTATTGCGAATAAATCGTTATTTTAGAATGAAAGAAACTATTCACCTGATTTCTTCAATAGGTATAATTGCCATGAGATTTATTTTCCTCAAAAGCGAGTATTTTAATCCATATATCCCGTTTCTTTATTGTCTGATTCGATACTCGATTTCAAGCAACGTATCATCTTGAAAGAATCAAAGAGATCGTCATTCTCGTTGTGATTCTCGATTGCGGGTTCAGCATCCAGATTGTTACCAGAAAAATCTAGCATAGATCTCGCCATTAGTAGTATATCCGAGCTAATCGTGCCAGGGCCAATTTAACATAAAAGTATAAAATATATATCGGACATTTAATCATTACCAAAATTTGATAAACTATATCAATGTACCTGATATTTTTTTGTGGATAATTTATTGATTTCTATCGTTAATAGTTTGTTCTCTACAATCACTTATTTCCTTGTTCTTGCTATGAGGATCACAAGTAGCATTTCTAGGTTAATGAAATAAAAGGGATGTTAAATAATTTCAACCATGATTGGAACATCAACAGCTATAATACTTAAATATATAATATAATCTTTACCTATGCCATTTTCTTCATTATTTTACATAAATGTGGTTCTTATTTAAATGATTATGCTGTCTTACGTAGGAATGAACTGACAAATTGAAGACAAAGAATGCTCAAAATATCTCTATTCATAACAGTTATCAATTTTTGCATTGCGTGTGAATGATTTTCGCGCAAATTTTTTAAATCGCCAGCCATTTAAAAATAGAGAATAGCCAAATCATGGAACGAATCATTGGTATTATAGTTTATCTCTTTTTTTTTGGATCATTTTTAAGTTTTAAGAATGTTATTCTAACAACTAAAAAAAATTGAAATATGATCGTTTTTTTTATCGATGTTTCACAAAAAATCTCGTTAATCGTTTGGAGATCGAATGCACGATTGTTGCCGAATTCGTGTTTGGTTAAGACCGTTCTTATATCAAATTTTGTTTTAATAAATTTAAAATCTTAGTCGATGCCGATATTTTCTACTCGAACATAAACTGGAATTAAGAAATTATTCATCGGCTGATTCTAGCCTTACCCGATCTATCTATCTTACTTTTCAAGAGATATGGTAATAATTTTATTAAATTTTAGGCAAATAAACAGGTTTATCGGGGTAAGCGATATTTAAAGCTGTTTGAAGAACATATTGTAAATCGAATAAATTAATATATTCATCATAGAATGTTAAAATATCATTAATTCTTTCAAATGCGTGATCCCGATAAGGTTTCCTACACAAACTTCCACCTTGTTTTAATGCAGAAAATGTTCCACATTGTGTACAATGAAAGATTTCGCAAGTTTTAATAAAATATGAAAATCCCAATAAACCAGATAAAAAATTATTTAAATGAATCGATTGTCTAAAATAATAAAAATATTTTAGTTGACGAGTTTTTTTAAATATGTATATCTTTTGAAACATTTCTTGATATAACTTACTCGTTGTATCTTTGAGCGTAAACTCTCGATAAAGAATTTAATGAGACTTTTGCTTTGATGAAAACTTCAACGTTATCAATTTCACGATTTTTATGAGGAATTTGTGGAAGATAAGCATCATCGGAAATCCATTGATTAGTCTGATAACAAAGGCCTACAAATTTTGGACTTGAAGAAATTCGATTACAATTCACACATTTATAAAGTGCGCAATACTGAAGTCTCTTTGGAAGATCACGAAGAAATTGCATGTATAGCAAAAGGGTATCATTTTTCATGTAATAATAATCTATGGCAAACGATTGAGGGTTAACTTCCTTTCTTCTTGATTATAAACCGATATGGATTTATTTCACGTACCTTCAATTTTAATATATTTCGTCCATTCAGATATACCAAAATATCCGTAATAAAAATCACGTTTAACCAAGGGAATTTCATCAGAAAACAGATCCCATTTTTTCGATAATCGATTTGGTCGATGAATGTCCAAGCAACTTTTAAATATTTCAAATAAATTCAATAAATCGAACTCAATTTCAATTTCTCTTAATTGCTTCAAATTTGTAAGAACGTCACATTGATCATGACCTGGATTTCGATAACCGGTATGCTCAGGTGTCGCTGATAACGCATCACATCTTTTACATATATAAACTTTATATCTTTCTAAGAAATTGTCCATCGATTGATTAAATACTTCAAAATTTAATCCTACCCTTAATGATAAACCGAAAACTTTATCAATTTATATATAAATGGGAGTCCAGAAGTCAAATAAAAAATCGTCACGATGGATAGATTAGATTTACTTACTCATTAAAGAGAATTTCTAATGTCATCAAATTTAATTTAGTGTCTCGAAGAGCATCAACAGTCAAAATTCGTTCGACCTGATGTGAATATTTGACTCGAAAACATTGTAAATCTTCATCCGTGTTACCAGGAATAATTGTAATCTTTCGACACCTTAAACAATGATTTAATGCGACCGATGTTTTCTTTTTCAATAAAGAAGGGAGTTCCTCCAAGAATCGATTAAATTCATCCAATGTCTTTGAATTTCTCCTATAGTCTTCAGTTCTAATATCTATAAACGCATAAAAAAGATTGATTAATTTCATATTTTCGAATTTTGAAGAGAAAAAATTTCCAAGTTCACATACATTCTTCATCGAATAAAATAGCCCATTGTTCCTCATCCATTTCGCTGATTAAAATGTTTTTAAAATCCGATAAATCATAATTTACAATTATATAAGATTTCTTTTATTTATTATAAGCCACAACTTGTTATTTGTCTTGTTTGAATAAAGCTTTTCGTGGAATTTATCCGCAAAATATCTTGCTGATTCCGTCCTCGAGACCGATAATGTGTTTATGAATGCAAATTTATAGCTAATGCCATAGTTTGTGGCGGTGTTCCAAATTGTCAAAGCCACATATTGTCCGACAATGAATGAAAAAAATGATAGTCGTAATAAATAAATTTGGTTGCCATATATTTGAAATGTTACTTTGTCAGCTGATTATTTTCGAACGGAATGAAGAATCAAACAAATCTTTAGGCTTTTTGTTCAATTATGAATAACTTATTTTACAATCTTTTTAAAGATCTTTGATTTTTTGAAACTTTGGACGTAATTTCGCATTCACTAATTACTTCAAACACAAAAATACTTGAAAAATAAAGTAATCTTTCCTTTCATCTTTCAAATCGAGTAGATTTTACGATTTTTAATATTCAATAAATTTATTAATAAAAACCGACATTTCTTTTTATTAATCCAAAAAAACGAAATATTCTGTCGTATATGAAAATAGTAAAGAAACTCTAATTATTAAAAAAATGAAAAATAATATATTAAGTTCTAATGGAACGATTTATTATCCCAAAGGAACTATTTTTATCAGTCTTTGGGTCGTCGTTTTAATAGAATGATTATTGTACCAATAGAACGAGTTTCATTAAATAAAAAAAATAAATTTAAAAAAATGATATAAAAATAAATATTATTTGATTAATAAAAACATTTTTTTTTATATAATCATTATATTATTTCCTTAAATATTAGTATTTTTATTTACTGAAATACAATCAATGTATCAAAATTTGTTAAAAAATTCTCAAAATATTTATTTTCCTAAAATTTTTTTGTAGTTTCTTTGATTTTATTTAAACTTATTTTATTTAAATACTTTTGCAATTAGCTATTAATTTTTTATTTTATAAATATTATATGGAAGGCGATTAGTAGTTAAAGGAAAAAATCCAAATTTTGGTCAAAATTTATATTATTAGACCACTTGGAATGTGTACAATTAGCTTAATACCAAAATTTTGGATTTTCCCAAATATATTTTTTGGCATTTTCTTTTCCACATTTCTTTTAACAATACTCCAAAGGTTTTCTATTGGATTTAGGTCGGGACTGTTAGAAGGCCAGTCAATAACTTTAGGAACATTTTCTTGAAGAAATTTTTTAGCATGTTTGCTAGTGTGCTTCAGATCATTGTCTTACTGAAAATGCCATTCATCTCCCAACAAGTCTTCAATCTCTAAAACATGCAAATAGAGTATATTTACATAAAATTCAGCATCCATTATTTGGGAAAAACAATATAAACTTATTTTTCCGTTTATGCAAAATCCTTCCTATGCAAAGATCTTCATTCGATTTTTAGGCATAAGGCGTATCAGTCAATTTCTTTTATACTAACATTTCACAGTATTTTGAAAAAGTTAAAAGGCAGTTTCATCTGTAAACAAAGTATTGTCCCAATCATTATTAAGATGATTTTGAGTCTATTCCACTTGTTTATGCTTATAGTTCACGGTCAGCATCGGCGTTACTCTTGGAAGGCTTTTTTGATATCCAATTTCAGTCAAATACCTACCTACCATCCTATAAGACACATCTAAACCTGTCGAAGACAATCTTGTCAACAGGAACTTGTTAAAATAGAAAAATCCTGGCAGATGAATTGGCCTAATGCTCTTAATGCATTAGCGTCAATCTTTTTTGAT